AAATATGTAAAAAAAAATTATTTACAAACATTGGACAAGGTCCGTACTGTACCTTGAAAATCTGGATAATTTGTTAATATTGGCTAAAGTCGTGAAAAACCTTGAAAAGTCAGGAAATTATTTTTTTCTTTAGATAGTCATGGAAAAATCAGTAATTCTAGTTATGAAGTTACTCGTTTCACAAATGAACGCTGTATTTTGAAAACCTGATGAGTCACACTTTTTTTAAAAGTGAGGTTATTTGAAAAGAATATTTTCAAAAAAATATTCTTTTCAAATAACCTCACTTAAAATAAAAAAATATTAAGATAAAATAAAGATTTTTTTAGCAAAATAAAAATTTTTTTAGATAAAATAAAGATTATTTTAGATAAAGTAAAGATTTTTTTTAGAGAAAAGAAACAATTTATAAATAAAATACAAAAACAAAATTTTTTACAGGAGAAATATTTTTCACTCCCTTGTAAAATTTTAATTTTATGACTTGTCACATTTTCAAAATCCAACGCTCAATTAAGCTATTATGTTTTTTTTGGTGCTACCCATTTATTTTTTCTGAAACTTATGTTTTTCTTAGTGTTCATTCATAGACGTCATTGAAGTACAACTTGGTAAACTACAAAACACATCAAATTCAGTTATAAAAATTTGAGTAACAAAGGTATACTAACTATTGTATTTCCTGAAAGAGTGTCATTGCTATTAAAAGCAGTGAAGAATTCAAATACTCTGGAAGAAAAGAAAATACGTAAGCAAATGGTTAATATTTTTTTATAGTTTTTTTATGCATTTTGTATGATATCTTAGTATAATTTATATACTTTAAATAAAATACTCTTTGAAGATTTTTTGTAAATTATATTTTATATTAATTTAAGTCTAAATTAATTATTGCCAGGTTGTGTATTTTTGCAGGTCAATTATTTGGCACAAATCGGAGTTAAAGACAAAGGAGATTGTATATTTTATTTGCTAAGAATAGTTTTTTAAAATGGCCGAGTTGTAAAATTAAACTATGCAGGGAGAGGACAAAAAATTGGAATAGAAAAAATATTGATTGCATATGCTGCTATTGGTAAGTGGTTTAGAAAAGTTTATTTTTTCAGTTTCAATTTTGCATTACAGAATTATTTTCAATTTGTTTTATTTCTTTGGTGAATAATTAAACAAACTATTTTTTTTTTGCAGAAACTGTGAAGTCAAATAAGAATGGCTTATGCAGACATGTGATAGAGATAGAGGAAGAAAAAATAATAATCGTGGGCATCAAATATCATAAATTAAACACTATTCAATAACAAGTAGCTCAGCCAATATCGAAACTACTCTATAAATTTTATTGTAAATTTTTTTATTTAAAACTCAATGTGTCAGTTTTTGGTTTAAGTTTAGTGTTTGCAATATGTATATTTAACAAATAAATTATGTTAAATAAATAAATTTTTATACTTGTATCATACATTCTTTTTTTTTCTCTATAAATTTTCAATGTAGCGATGCAAATCATCTTATTTGTAACAACGATCTAATGTTGCATAATACGTTAGGCCGATATATAACATACGATATTGGGCCAATGTTGTATACAATGTTAGACCAATGTTGTATACAACATTGGCCTAACGTTATATACAACGTTGGGCCAATGTTGGGTAAACGTTGTATACAACATTGGGCCAATGTTGTACACAACATTGGGCCAATACCTAACCAATGATCAAACCTGCATTGGGCCAACATCGACTTTCAACGTTGGGCCAATTCATCATCATGCATTGGCCCAACGTTGGTCCAATGTAAGCTTGCTGTCTGGGATATATATATATATATATATATATATATATATATATATATATATATATATATATATATATATATATATATATATATATATATATATATATATATATATATATATATATATATATATATATATATATATATATATATGTATATATATATCTTCTATATAATATTGCCGATCTTAATAGTAGACTACTATTAAGTTCGGTCAAATACGCTCCACCTTGGAGCGCATTTGACACGAAACCCTTGGCAGCCAATGCAACCGAGGTATTAGCAAGAAAGAGTCGCAGCACTATAAGAAAACGTGAACGAATATCTAACGTACGTAAACTTTAAACTAAGTAATGTTAAAGCATATGTTAAAACATACTGAAACATCATTTTTTTACAATTTGATTTTCACTTGAAAATTACATTGCGTCAAGCTCTCCTTAATTTTGATCTATAACTTTTTTTTCCTCAAAAAAATTACTTGATTTTTATAAAATTGGCGCTTAATAATAAGCCGGTGTAGCTGGCGTCGAACTTCAGAACAAAGAACTTGATGTTCGACTCCTACCAATGACGTCAATTTTTTTAAATTTTTTTTTATTATTTTAAATTACAAAATACTTTTTAAGTTTTATAAAGATTATATACATACATATGTAACGATATTATGCACTCGCAATTAAAAAGATTGCTAAAAAACCGAAAGAAAAACACCGAGAGAAAAAAATCGTTGCGTATGTATGATGATTGAGAACTTATGCTCAGGTAATTAGTCCTAATAAGCTGCGAATGGTCTGAAATAAAAGTTGTCTGAAACTTAATAAAGAAAAAACTATATTAAATAAATAAGAAAGTCCTGCTACTCAAGAAGGTGCTGCTGTGGAGGCAAAAAAGAAAAGCCCTTAGCCAGTGGCGGATTGAGGTTTAGTGTTGCCGGGGGGCCAAGTCAATAAATAGGGGCGACCGGGGTTGCCTTCAGTAATTTGATTTAAAATATATATATATATATATATATATATATATATATATATATATATATATATATATATATATATATATATATATATATATATATATATTGTTGTTTTGATTATTTGATAATAATCAACTCTTTTATGATTTGAGAGTGATCAATATAAAGTGAAATAATCACAAAATAGATCAATAAATAAATAAATAAATAAAAGGTTAGATGAGAAAAAACAACTTTTTTACGGTACTTAAAGTTTCATGCCGTTTTCGTATTTTCGACCATTCGCAGCTTATTAGGACTAATTACCTGAGCATAAGTTCTCAATCATCATACATACATAGTATAAAGAGTTGATTATTATCAAATAATCAAAACAACAATATTTTTGCTCCATACGTTGAGCACTCTACTCAAGACACATATGTGATGGAAAAAATAAATTTTGAATATTCAGTCAAGAACATTCCGATACCATCCATTAAAGACTTCAAAATGCAATTATTGGATAAAACTGAAACTTTAATCAAAAGAATGCGATGGAAAGCGTTTTTCTTTTTAAACAAGAGTTCAAATAGTAAGAACAATTTTTATTATAACTACGGATTAAAAACATCTAATCATCCAAAACAAATTACAGAAATGCTAGCTTTTGAGAACGAACTCATTGATCTTGTAAAACACATTAAGTTTCGAAAGGTACAAAGCAATTTTCAAAATAAACTAAAACAAGATATAAACATTATTCGAAAATCTAATCAAACTTATACGTATGCTGATAAAACATCTAATCTTTACAAATTATCTAAAAATGATTACAACCACTTGTTAAGAAATGCCATCACTTCAAATTACAAATTATCTAACTCAAATGTAATAAATAAAGTAAACATAGAAGGTAAACGTCTTTTGAAAAATCATGAAGTTTTCGATAAAATTGATATTAATACAGCTTCCAATTGTTTTATCACCTTAAAAGACCATAAAGATAACTTTGAAAACAATCCGACTGTCCGTTTATTAAATCCTGCTAAAAATGAGGTTGGAAGAATTACCAAGGATATTCTTTCTAAAATTAATGCAGACCTAAGAAGTATATTACAATTAAACCAATGGAAAAACACTCGAAATGTTATCGATTGGTTTAAAGCCATAAAAGACAAACACCTTTATAAATTTTTAATTTTTGATATCATTGACTTCTACCCTTCTATTAGTGAAACACTTCTAAAAAACTCTATCAAATTTGCAGAGCAACACTTAACACTAAATAAAGAGAATATATCGTTAATTTTTCATGCAAGAAAGTCTTTGCTTTTCAATAATAATCAGGTTTGGATAAAGCAATCAAGTGGTTTATTTGATGTTTCCATAGGAGCTTTTGACGGCGCGGAGGTTTGTGAGCTTGTAGGAATATTTCTTCTTTTCGAAATTTCAAAATTTTATAACAAGTTTGAGGTTGGTTTATACCGTGATGATGGATTAGCAGTTTTTAGGAATAAAAGCGGCCCTCAAATGGAAAAAATAAAAAAGCATCTTTCCGAAATATTTAAATACAATGGCTTACGGATTTCTATACAATGCAACATGAAAATTGTCAACTACCTCGACGTCACTCTAAATCTTAGTGAGTGCACCTTTAAACCTTATCTCAAACCTGATAATACATTAAATTATATCCATGCTGATTCAAATCACCCTCCAAGTATACTAAAACAAATACCACATTCGGTTGAACTTAGATTATCTACAAATTCTTCTACCAAAGAAATATTTCAACAGGCTGTTCCTCTATATAATGAGGTTTTATTAAAGTCTGGTTTTAAATGTAATCTAACATATAATCTTAAAGCAATATCAACTAAAAAACGGAACAGAGCACGCAACATCATTTGGTTTAATCCTCCATTTAGCAAAAATGTTAGCACCAACGTAGGAAAATGTTTTTTGAAATTAATTGGCAAACATTTTCCTAATAATAACAAACTACATAAAATCTTTAACAGGAACACAGTCAAAGTTAGCTACAGTTGTATGCCAAGTGTGAAATCGATCATAAATTCGCACAACAAGTACATTTTATACAACGATGCAAACTCTAATCAAGAAAACTGTAACTGCTTAGATAAAAATTTCTGCCCGTTGTCCAATAGATGTTTAACAAGCAGCATTGTATACCAAGCAACTGTAACCACCACTAGTGATTCATCTCCTAACGAAAAATCCTACATCGGTGTAAGTGAGACTTCTTTTAAATTGAGATACGCTAACCACGTTAAATCTTTTAACATCCCAAAATACAAAAATGATACTGAGCTGTCAAAACAGGTATGGAAAATAAAAGAAGCCAATTTAGTTCCTATAGTTAAGTTGAAAATTCTCAGGCGATGTAAAGCATATAATCCTACATCCAAATCTTGTAAATTATGTCTCACCGAAAAATATGAAATCCTAAATTATAAAAATACCAATCTACTAAATAAAAGGAGTGAGATTGTTTCTAAGTGCAGACATAGAAACAGATTCCTCCTTTCTCAATTTCTCAAAACACTGGCGATTAGAAAATATGTTTTTTCCATAATATTATTATTATTGTTAATATTATTGCTATTATTATTATTATTATTTTTATTATTGTTATTATTATATTATATATTATTATTATTGTTATTATAATCATTATTATTTTTGCTATTATTTGTATTATAATTATTTGACGTCAGAACTCATTCCATTGTTTTTTTTGAATTTTGTAACGGTTTTTTAATTGTATTTTTGAACGGTTTTTTCTTGATTTAAATATATGGCTGATGAGTGCCGAAAACGGCATGAAACTTTAAGTACCGTAAAAAAGTTGTTTTTTCTTATCTAACCTTTTATTTATTTATATATATATATATACATATATATTGATTGTTTTAGGGGGCGCCGTTAGACGTTCTAGGGTATATACTAAATCCGCCACTGCCCGTAGCTAGAAAAAAATTTAAAACTTTCTTTTGATAATCAAAAGCTTTTTTAGCTACATTTATTTTTTTACTATAAATATATGTTGCAGCTGATTTTCAAAAGGCCTTAATATGCTTATTACGTATTTCGAGAAAAACGCAATTAAAAAATAGTTATTTAAAATTAACTCTTTGTTAAACGTTTTTTGAAACGAATAATTTTAATAAATTTTTTTCAAAAATCTTTGAAAATATGTATTCAATAACGTTTGTAGACATATAAACTAGCTTGTTTTGTAAAAAAGTCAAAAATGATATTTTTAACTTTAAGGCGTTTTGAAAAACGGCTGCAGTATGGGTGATACAACGAATATGTTAAAATGAGATAATTTGACGCAAAATTTAAAAGCTCATAACAAAAGCAACTAAAACTTAAAAATTTAAAAATATTGCCTCAAAATTTTGTTATAGTGAAAAATTTTATTTTAGTGAAAATAGTAATTGTAGTTCAAATATAGAAGATTGTTTATAAAATGTAAAAAATCCACTTATATAACGTTTTATTCATGATCGTATGTAATATAAGTATACTTATATTACATACGAGTCTAATAATTACAAGTCTTTTTTGCTTAAACTGTTTTTCTTTTTGGCTTTTGTAGTTATGTTATTATAAAAAAATTGACAAGATTAAAAAAACACGAAATATATTGTCCTTCCCCCCTCTCCTTATTTGGACGATGTCCTTTATGGAGTGTCTCTTTTGTCTTTATTAGAATATATCCCATAAAAATATATTCCATTTTTCTTTAATAAATAGAGTTTTTATAAAAAATTGAAATAAATATAATATCATTTTAAAGGTTTAAGAAGCAGATGACATAACTTTAGAAATCAGAAATTATCGAGAGTTTCGAGATAAAAAGGACAAATAAGAACAAGGAGAGGGAGGAGTATGTCTGAAAAGGACGTCACTTTATAGATTTTTTTTTTTTAGTTTAATTAATATGAAAAAATATTTAAATATATGTTTTTAAGAAGATAATGTATAGGAATACTTTTAATTTTATTTTTCAAAGGTGTAGCAGCAAATTTAAACATTATTGGGAGATCAAATAATTTTTTCGGGGGTTTAATTTGGTTGGGGGGCAAGATTTTATGACGTCCTTTTCAAGGGAGTGTAGGGAAAAAGAACAACTGGTAATTGAATTTTTTTTTCAAAGGTGTAGTAGCAGATTTAAACATTATTAGGAGATCAAATAATTTTTTTGGGGGTTTAATTTGGTTTGGGGGCAAGATTTTATGACGTCCTTTTCACGGGAGTATAGGGAAAAAGAACAACTGGTGATAAAGGGGGGAGGGGTCAAATATTGGCTAAAATCGACGACGTCCTTTACGGATGGCTCCAAAACTATTTATTACTATTGTAATAATAACAATCTGTTATCCATGAAAATGATATATCTGTACCAGTTTTATATATCTTAATGCATTTGTATGCAACATAATAAAATAAATGCAAAAGGAAACTTGACGCATAAAGGTTTATTTTGCCTCAAACTGACGTCAATGTGCAAAATCTTTTTGGCTTCACTTTTAGAATAGCGTTTAATAATATTCTTTAGTTCTTAATCATAATTTTTTTTTTCTTACTTTTTTTAATGACTATGTTTTAGTGCTCTAAGTCTTCTTAGTTCCATTTGTATAACGTTACATACAAACGTCTGTAAGTGTAAATGTCTTTAGCATATGTTGAGTTTCCACGTATTATATGGAATAATTGCGTCTATCTATATATCTGCAAAATGAGAAAACTTTAAATTTTTATTTATTATTTTCGAAATCTTTTTTGGTATATTATTATTTTTTTGCTATAAATATATAAGCAAGATTTAAAAAATTTCACAACTTATTAAGCTAAGAGGAGGTCTTAAACCTTCCAAAACAACACTGATGACAGCGCACTCAATCACTGAGCTGTCAATGAAATGTATTTAGCAGAAAAACAAAGCTAATTATTAGTATCTTATAAGCTCTACGTATGCGGAAAAGGTGCGCATGTTTAGTTTTTTGCTCTTTAATTTTTTTTCAGAATAAATTTTTTACTAAAAAACATTGAAGTAAATAAGAAATAGGTATAGAAATTTTTGGCTAGAAATAGATATGTAAATTGGTAAAGACCTGTATTTTACAAATCCAGAAAGCTAGAATATATAAGGAAAAAGTATAGAAAAGATCGGTTTGGATTAGATATATGAAGACCCGTATTTTTTTCACCCGCTTTTTTCATGTCATTATTTAATTTAATTTTGTTGCATTTTAGACATCTTACAATGCTTTTTTAGCATTTTCCAGAACGAGTTGAGGGCTCACATTCCCCACATGATGTGGGTTCAAATTTAGGGCAAAAGCATCCCCCACCTTTTTATATATATAAACATAAGTAAAGGAGGAGAGTAAGTAATAGATATAAAAAACCCTGCGTCTATAATGAGGATTTATGTAGTTGGTTATTCTACCAATTAAACCAAATATTAGTTAATCTACCAATCCTTTATTGATAATGCAAATTTAGTTGAATTTTTTTGTAAACATATATTTCTTTATTTATTTTGTTTTGTTATTATGTATAAATAAATAGATTTCCATTTAATACATTAATATAATACAGATTATTTTTTATTCCTTTAAAACATGTCAAAGTTGTTAAAGTGCTTTGCATGGGTTCAAATCCTTTTGTTTACACCTAATTTTTTAAAAGTCTTTTTTAATTTTCTAGAATACAAAATAAAACATTTTTAAAGGCCTATAGATATATGCATAACATATATCAAAATATTATATACTATAATAAACGAAAGGGGCAGCAGTGAGCAGCCGTGGCGCAGTGATAGAGTTTTGGCTCAGAACCCAGAGGTCCAGTGTTCGACGTCGGCTCTAGCCCAATAAGCGACATTGGTAGCAAGGAGGCGTGAACTTCCAGTCAAATGCTCTCCCGCGGTGCTCCGTGATAAGACCGTAAGGACTTCTGGGAGCACCAAAATAACATTAAAAAAAAAAAAGGGAGAGAATTTTTTAGAAAGCTTTTTAAAATTTCTAAAAACATAATTACATCGTTAAAAATTAGTTAAGCATATGTCACAGTACTTAAGTTGTTAATGTTTTTACTTTATTAGTTAAGTCTGTGCATCAAAGGGACAATTTTATTTATTATAGAAAAATATTTTACATGCCCTGTTAATTTTAAAGAAAAAACCCCGTGGGAAGTCGGCTAGCGAATAGCTAGCTATAATCGTTACGATAAAGACAGCGATTTGGCCACGAGGATTGCTAGCTTTTTAAAGTTAGCAAAAAGCTATCGATATTTGTAAAGACAAAGACAGCGATTTGGCTACGAGGACAGCTAGCTTAATAAGCTAAAGACTCACAGGCTATTGTAGCTACCGCCATACCGTAATAAAATCGCTATCAAAAAAATTTTGGTATGTAGCTATCAACCAGCTATAGATTTGTAGATATTGTGTAGCTAGCTAAAAAGCTACGATATGTAGCTAGCGACACATTGCTACAAAATCGCAATGTTTAAAGTTCAATTATTCTCATAATTAAAATAGATTCAACACTAAAAATCGAATTTTTAAAGATGTTAGAGACATTAGTAAAGAATAAAACAGGAAAAAAAAAATCGCTTGAAACTCGCTATAAAGCTAGCTAGTCGCTTGCTAGTCGCTAGCTCATTTCCCACCGGGAATGATTTTTCTTTAAATGTAAAACTGTAAGAATCCTAATAAGCTGCAGATTCGAAAAAAAATTTAATACTAATTAAAGAAAAAAATAACCACTGCCCTGTTTTTTTATTTTTTTTTTATTTTTATAGAAATTTGTTTTATGGGTCACGACAACAAAAATTAAAAATAAAGCAAGCTGATGATTTGAACTTTCCACGCGGCGACCTTAAGTTTTTCAAAACAGTACGGGGATTAAAAATATTTGTTTTTTATAAAAACATAATTTAAAAAATTCTAAATTTATATTTAAATGAAACCAATATATTAAACTGATTACTTTTAAAAATAATTAAAAGTTAAAGTCTAACTTTTATATTTAATGTTGATATAATAAGAAAATTTAGAGTTATACTGCTATTAATTCACGCCCCCGTTTAACATTACAAAACCAAGTGCGCGATGACAACACAATTTAGATAACCATTAAAATAATATTACACTCTTTTTTTTTTTTGCTTTATATACTTTTTGGCTTATCCTTTATCAAAACCTTAAAATAAGGGATCGTCCATAAATACTCAACGTTAAATTTCACAATTGAAGAAAAAAAAAATGATCTAAATTTTTAGAGCTCATTAAGTTTAATGAAAATCGTCATTCTAAAGAACTAAAGATCTCTTCTACTTTTTGAAAAATAAATTTAGCGTTGCGTAATTTGTGAGCGATTCCATAGCGTTTTATAGTTTATATAATTTTCTGCTCTTAAAGTAGTTTTTCAGAACAAAATTATTTTACTTAAAAGTATTGAAGTATATATTTAATATATTTTAATGATTAAAAATTTATTTAGACAACCTTTTTCTCAAAAAATTTCTCAAGAGCCTAAGTTTAATTCTTTAAAAAAAAATCTTAAAAATCTCATATTTTCCACTAAAAATATACTTATATACTTTTCAAACTTAGACGATTCTTATTTTTTGGGTGTATGTGTAAATTTTTTTTTTTTATTCTTTTACGGGAAGCTTATTATAATATGTTTTATAAAGTTTATGTTCATACCTATTTACATAAACATGATGCAATATGATATTTACTGTTTTTTGAACATAATAATAAGTTGACTATATTTTAAATGCATGTACTTTAATGTTCTTTGTTTTGTTTATTAAATATTGTGAAAGTTTTACTCTTTTTAACGAATTTTTTACCTGTATTTATATTTCTTGTATATATTTTAATAAATATTGTTATAAAAAATAAAACAAAAAAAAACAAGGTAAACTTCATATTTATTTTCAGAAGAACATAAAAATATGTCTTTAAAAGATAAAACAATTTCTTTTAAGATAACTCAATTCATAGGAAAAATTAAAATTTTTTAAACTACTTTGTTCAAAAGAAAAGCACCTTGATACGAAACACACGACTTTCCAAAATTAGTTAGTGACAAAGGTTGCCGAATTTTATTGTCATTTCTTAGGTTATATTTATTTTTATCTTTTAAAGTATATAGATTATGAAAAGTAACTGGAGATTCGTTGGTTTTACATTTGAACATAAAACAAAGTGTATTAAAAACAATCAGCTGATAAATATTAAGAATTTTCATTTGAAATAATAAAGGGTTTGCAAATATTAGGAATTTTCATTTAAAATAATAAAGGGTTTGCGATCTTTATATTTGATAAGGCAAGCAACATGCTTTTGCTGACGATAAAGAGGTAGCAATTTAGATTTATTGATATTACCATAAGCAATATTTGCATAATTTATGATGGATTAAAGAGAAATATAACTGTGTTAAACTTTGCTTATTTAATGCATTTCTAGCTTTGTACATTACTCCTATATTTCGAGCAACTGTGTTGCACAACAAATCAATGTGATATTTCTAACTAGGGTTTTCATCAATATTGACTTCTGAAAACTTATTAGCTTTATTTGATTTTGTCAATAAAAAGTAAGAGCATGACATGAGGCATTAGCTTTTATTTAAAGTTTTATGAAAAAGTATCCATTTAGTTTTCTCAAGATTTAGTTACAGATTATTAATCTTAAACCAGTGAGAAACTTTTGTTAAATCAATGTTCCTATTTTGGAATAATGTTGTTATACTGTTACGAAATAAAAAGAGATTAGTATCATTAGCAAACATGACCGTCATTAAATTTGAGGCTTTAGGGAGATCATTAATGTAAACTAAAAAGAGAATAAGTCCTAGTATAGAACCTTGAAGGACACCACATGTTATATCTAATAAATTGGAAGAGACAGTTGTATTACTGTAAACCAACTGTTTACGGTTGCTTAAATAACTTTTATCATTAAATAATTATCATTAAAATATTTCCTTTAATTCCATTATACTTTATTTTTTTAAAAAGGATTTTGTGGTCAATGGTATCAAAGGCTTTTGATAAACCTATAAAAACACTTAACGTATATTCAGATTTTTCAAAAGATTCAGCAATATTGGGGGCAGTTTGGAGTATAGTGTGTTCGTTTGAATTACTTTTTTTTAAACCCGTATTGATTTTGATAAGTATATTATTTAAATATAAATGATTGAAAATTACATTTTGTAAAATTGTCTCTAAAGTTTTAGAAAAAAACAGTCAAAATTTAGGTCGGGCGATAATTTGAAATATTGGTTGCATCACCCCCTTTAAATATTAGTAAAACTCTGGCTATTTTTAGATTGTCTGGAAAAAACAGCCCTGTTTTATTGAACATTGTAAAATTTGAAATAGAAATTTTTAATGACTTCGTACGAGTCAATAACAACATTGCAATAAATATCTTCATGACCAACTGATTTATTAGATTTAAGCATTTTAAAAGAAAATTCAAATATATGTTTAAACTTTCATTTCTGCCCAAAAAAAAATATGTTTAAACTTTCATTTCTGCATGAAGGTAGGCGATAACATCAATTTTTAAATAAACTTTTTTTTTTGTTTGGATTTTACCTGTTGAGAACTCATTATCATCATCAGAATTGCTCATGTCAAGCCTGATAACATACTACAAACATTCTCTAATATAAACTATTAAACCACCGCACAGTGGGCCAATAGGTGGACAAAATGAGAAAAAATTTAGTTGTCTAATCTTGAAAACTTATTTAATTTTAGTATCTTCATATATAGGAGAAATTTATTGATAATTTTTTTATAATAAATCCCTTACTTAGAAGGAATCTAAGTATTTGAATATTAAAATTATAAAAAAAAAAAAAATTAAACAAGTAGTTTACCATGACATTAACGCTGTTATATTTTGTAGATGTTATATTTCAATTACATCTACGTTTTTGAAACAAAAAGTTAGTTCATGTTATTCTATAGTATTTAAAAATAAGATAAACCAGTGTGTGAAATTAGTATGTCATAGTATGTTATCTTACTTATACTTTGAAAATCACAGATTAAAATACAAAAAATCTTAAAGAAATTTATTTTTTGCCGCCTTATAACTAATAATTACCATAATTTGCTATGTGCTGTCTTATATCTATTTAAGCTATATGATACTTCAATCAAGTTTTAATTAATTGGTCGTCCCCTTACATCCCTGTTGAGATTTTATATATGTTTTAACTTGGTTGCTATGGTACTGAAATTTGCATAGCAACAGCTCATTTATACATTAACGTTGTTTTAACAGTACTTTATGTGCACTAAGTACACAATATTGGGAGTATGTATTAAAATGACATTCACTATTTTTATAAGGTCAATTTTTTGGTTGCTATGGCTACCTTACTTTGCATAACATGTAAACAATATATTTTCGGTAGCTGTCAGTAATTTAATTTCTAACACTAACAGTAATTTAATTACTTCCAATTTTAATTACTAACACTTGTAGTAACTTAATTACTAACACGAATTAGTAGTCCACGCGGCATATATTTTATAACATTGAACTTTTAAATACAAAATATTTGTTATAAGAATTGTTTAGATAAGGTTTTATTAAACTTAGACATTCATAGTTTTCTTTAAAAAATTCTTAGTATATCAAAACAAAGTATTACTGAAGATATATTGAAATTTATTTAGCCAAACTTTGCTGAACTTAAATACGTTGAATTCAGACATGCTGTTCAACGATTTGTTTACTTGAATTCAGACATGCTGTTCAACGATTTGTTTACTTGTATTAAAAAAAGTGGAATTCCGCAACTATACTATTAATTTTTTTGAAAAGAAGTTTGTAAATTGGTATAATGAATATTTAATTGTCAGAAAAAAAACAACCCAGCTGCAAGTAGAAGTGGTCAAAAACCAGTTGCATTTAATAATAGTTCTAATCAAAATTAAAAACGGCATGTATCTTGCTTATTTGAATCCCATTAATCCATTATTTTTTTGCTGCTATTAAAAAGTTTATAAATGAATCTATTGTTAGTCCTGCCAAGAACGATTTCAATATTTCAAATACAGATAAAGCAACTAAATATTCAGCAGACGAAGCACTGACTTTGTTAATTGATGTCAGTCTGACAAAAGCTTCCTATCAATTGGTTAGAAACGGAGCCTTGGCGAAAGAATATAACCTCTTCCCCGCTTACAATGATATCAGAGATGCAAATTTAAAATGTTATCCTTCAAATATAACAATGGAGGGCTATTCAACTTCAGTTCCTTCAAAAGATTTATTGATTCATACTTGCAAAGAATCTGTGCAGTTCAGTAATCTATGTTGAGGCACTTGATAATGAACGACAAAACAATAAAAACAATGACAATGGCCAAAGCATTTATAAACAAGTTTTATCAGAACCTAACATGAACAGAGATTTATTGTATGAAGAATCATTATTTATTATTTGCTCAGACCTTGGATTTGACTGGATTTAACAACAGTAATGAAAAGGTGCCTACCTGGAGATATCAAAAGTTGTCATCCACAGCCTATTGTAGACCCATAAGATTTGCTTACAAAACGAAATCCAAGGAATCTGCGATCGAAGAAGATTAGTACATTAAAAGTGAAATAGAAAGCTTGGGTATAATTTTATTAGAGGTTTGCGGTTCTTCAATTGAAGTAAATAATGTAATTTTAATTTTTTTACAATAACTTTACAATGATTTACAATAACTGATGAGAAAGTTCAATCAATTTTATCTTAAAAAACTAACTCATACCAATGCTATTTTGTGTGTGGTGTCTCTCCGAAAAATATGAATAGTCTTGATATCCTTAATATAAATTATATTAACAGAGGTCTTTCCATTCTTCATGCATGGATTCACTTTAAGAAGGTTTTGCACATTGCATATAAATAGAAACAAAAAAGTGGCAAGCAAGATCTAAAGAATGCAAAAAAAAAAATGCATTTATAGCCAAACTATAGATTCAGACTAATTTTATGATCAAAATGAGATATATTGTTTATTTCCACAAAAGTGGTGGTTCTGGAACAAGCAATGATGGCAATACCTCAAGGCGTGCTATTGCAGCAATTGAACAAACAGCTGAAATTCTGGGTATTGATCAAAACCTTATATTCAGATTTTACATTATCTTGGTAACACTCTCTTCAGGATATGAAATAGACAGCTTAAAATTCAAGGATTATTGTTTTGACACTGTTAGACTGTATGTGTCTCTTTATTCGTGGTATTACATGGCTCAATTAGTTCACAAAGTATTGATACATGGACATGACTTAATTAAAAACCTTACATTACCCATCAGACTTATGTCAGAGGAAGCTCAAGAGGCTAGATATAAAGACTTTAAATCTTATCGCAAAATTTCTGTCAAAAAACATCCAGAAAAGCAACAAATACTGACCTAATCAATAGACTCCGAGTTTCCAGTGATCGTGTTTTTCATCACTGTGTAAATTAACATCACACCGAACAAATCATAAAGCATTTCCTTTAGATGTTTTACAATTACTTAAACAATCTTTAAACGATGTTATTATTTTATAACTTTTTGATGTAATATAAAATCAACAATATTTTCTTGCAATATTTTTTTGTTTTTGTTATTGTAAAAACATTATTAACCTAAAAAATCAATTGTTATTAAATTTAGGTGGGTCGAAAATCCGATAGAATATTCAAATATTAACAAATATTTTTGAAACTAAGGAAAGTATCTGGTAACTACACAATATAAGTATCTATAGCAACTAAATTTAAAAAATATGACTTTTATTACAAGTCTGATCTCATATTGGTACTCATGCCAAATTTAGGTAATATAGCACTCATAAAATATCTGCAGATAATAAAATTAGGTTGTTACCAAGCAAAATAAAGGTATCCATTGCAGCAAAATAAAAAAACGTTACCTTCATAAAAAGCGCACGCATCATATAAGTACTTATGCTAATTTTAGTGAGTATAGCTCTAATAAAAAATTAGTAATGAATTTTGTCCAGTAAAAGTGAAATCTAGCCCAATGTCCACCGCCTCACTTTTCATTTTTTCTATATAATGAAATTATATTGAAATCTGGTAAAAAAAATACTTGAGTTTAAATTAGAGGTATCAAAGTTACACATGGTTTCAGACATGCAAATTAAACCAAAAATATTAAAAAATTCTTTTATTTAAAAAGAAAAAAATTTTCTCATAATCTTTGATCCCAGAGTTTCTTCTTTATATATTTACCAAGCACCAAGCACTGCTGATTTGTCCTTATAGTTTAAAAATTTGACCATGATAGTTCTGCATTTTTTGATTGTATTATCTTTACTATTTTTTCCAACTCTATGAGCACTTTCATTAATGAATTCATCTTGAAGTTTCTGTTTTGATTATATTAATTTAAGAACTATACTTCCACAATCGTCCCTTTCATTTCAACTTTCATCAACTGATTCTTCTATACCAGATATCTTTAAATTAATTATCGGTTTTCCAACTTAGCCAATTCGGTCGTCCAACTTAGCCAATTTGTCTATCATATTAACGGTTAAACTATTTTCTAGGTTTCTATCTGATTTTGCGCGATCAGCCTTTGATCCCTCTAGTTCAATTATTACTTTGTCGTATTTTTCGCAAATAAATTCGACAGTTTTTTTTAATTTACTTACTTCAGTTTTAAGAATTTTTTTGTCATCATTCAATTTGTTAATATGTCTTTCTAATCTTTCAATTTTTTCATTAAATAATTCAATAATTGTGTTATCGTGAATGTCTGATATTTCTTTTAAGTCGAAAAACATTTCGCAAAATAATTTAATTTCAAAATAAAAAAAAAAAAATTATTTTGTAATTAAAAACACGTCAGTTTGCTGTAAAGTGTAAACTGTAATTTATTTTTATGCTAATAACCAGATATGTAGATAGCAGCGTATATAGATATTGATATAGTTTTCTTTTCCATTAATACTAAAATGGAAACGTCACCAAATATAAATCAAATTTTTGTTAAACGTATTTTTAATGAAAAGAATTTGGAAACATATAAAGAGCAATTGTCTCTTCTTCATTGGGGGCACATTTCCAATTTAGATGATGCTAATCTGGCTTACAACAAATTTTTTAAAACTTTTTTTGATATATATATGATGTTAATTTTCCAAAAATCAAAATACATTGTAAATTAAAAAGTATAAAATCCCCATGGATTACTAAAGGGTTAAGATAATCATCCAAAATCAAACAAAAGTTGTACATTAAATTCCTAAAACTAAAAACAGATAAAAGTAAAGCTATAAAAATATAAAAGTTACGCCAAACAACTTGAACGTCAAAGAAAAAATCTTTAAAAAAATTATTACAATAATTTACTTGAGAAATATAAATTAAATTCTAAGCGCACATGGGAAGTTATAAAGGAAATCACAGGCAGTTTTAAAATGAACACACTCACATTGCCTAAAACCATCAAATCAAATTATAAATTTTTGTATGATAAAGAAGAGATAGCTAACGAGCTGAATAAATATTTTGTTTCTGTTAGACCAAATTTATCCCAAAAAATTCCTCAAGCAATTAATCCAATAAGTAATCTATTTATCCCTAATACATCGCAATTTAATTTGTTTGAATTAACTTTTGAAGAGTTTAAATGCGCTTTTAAAATGCTAAAACCCAACAAATCAGCAGGTGCGGATGATATCAATGTAAATATTGTTATTAAATTATAGAAATCATTAAAGATGTACTTTTTAAGATTTTTTCTTGTTCTATTAGGCAAGGAGTTTTTCCTAACCAACTAAAAATAGCAAAGGTGATTCCGATATTTAAAGGAGGTGATTTAACTAATGTTAGCAACTATCGTCCCATTTCTATTCTATCTGCATTTTCAAAAGTCTTGGAGAGAATTTTATACAACAGAATTTATAATCATTTATCTGTAAACAATTTAATATATAGCAATCAATATTGATTCAAAAAAAATAACTCGACAGAACACGCAGTTCTCCAGTTTAAAAGAAGTATTACTAACTCTTTTGAAAACTCCCAATATACAGTTCGGGTTTTTATTGACTTAGCTAAAGCTTTCGATACAATAGACCACAATATTCTTTTAAATAAACTAAAGATTTACGGTATAAACGGAAGTGTTTTAAATTGGTTAAAAAGCTATTTAAATAATCGAAAGCAATTTGTATACGTTGATGTAGTTTCACCAGTAAACTTGCTTGATATAACCTGTGGAGTTCTCAGGGATCAATATTAGGGCCTCTTCTTTTTCTTATTTACATCAACGAGCTCCATAAAGCCTCAAATTTAATGACGATTATGTTTGCAGATGACACAAACTTATTTTTATCTCATAATGATATTACATTGTTATTTCAGAATATCAATAATGAACTAGTAAGAATTTCTGATTGGTTTAAGACAAATAAACTGTCTCTTAATATTGATAAAACGAAATGGATTTTTTTACATCCAAATCACAAAAAAAATCTTATACTAAATGAAATGCCACTGCTTTTTATTGATAATATACTTCTAAAAAAAGTAACAGTTTCAAACTTTCTTGGTATTTATATTGATGAAAATTTGTCATGGAAAAGTCACATAAAAAATTTGAGTAGTAAAATATCAAAAAGCATAGGACTTTTGTACAAAGCAAGGTGTTTTTTAAATAAACATACATTACTTAAACTATATTATTCGCTCATTCATTGTCACATTAACTATGCGAACATTGCGTGGGGTAGTACTAATAAAAGTAAATTGGAACCTCTTTATCGTCAACAGAAACATGTTGCACGCCTTATTAATTTTAAGGATCGATTTACTCATGCCAAGCCTCTATTAATTGAAATAAAAGTCTAAAATATATATGAGCTTAATATTTTTAACGTTATATGTTTTATGTTTAAATGTAAAAACAATATTTCTCCTGTACCTTTTCATAATTTGTATAACAAAAAAGAAAAAACTAAGTACATTTTACGAAATGATAATAATATTCGTCAATCAGCTTATCAAACTAATTCTGGAAAATACTGTATTTCATTTCGAGGAGCATTACTTTGGAATAAAATAGTTTTTTAAAAGTCATTTTTTTATTAGATGATATATCTATATTCTTTTAATTTTTTGTTTCTTTTTTTAACTTTATATTTAACACTGCATTAATAAATTTTATAATTTAACAATTTGTAAATAGTTGTTTAACACTTTTGTTAAAGGTATCTTAAAACCGTATAACAAAACCTTTAATAAAAAGTTTAACAATTGGGCTAAAGATATCTTAAAATTGTATAACGCATCTATGTAT